AAGTGGGTTTGGTTGTTTGAAAATACTTTACGTCCTCTAGAGAAGATTTCTACGGCAGACCAGTATGGAACGGGTTGGCAATCGAGGACTTTTACTTTATGTTTACTTTAGCAGCCAACGTGTTAGTGAAGAAATTGTTGATCGTTCATTGAAAGTTTAAGTTTTATATGTTAGATAAATAGCGCTTGCGAACATACAAATATACAACTAGGTTGCCTATTAGCACCTCCTACTCACTGATTTAGGCGAGGTTATCGGACACCTTCCCATTGAGGGCAAGACGGATGGTGCGAAGCCGGACATCCAGTTACGAGTAGTTAAAGGCGAAGAAATTGCACACATTGTGCCCGGCTCAAAGGACCTTGTCATCGAAAAGGAACTCGACAGGGACGAGGTACGCAGCGGGAGTCAAGATGAGGGCGATTTGAAAAATTAAGGCGGTAAAGGAAAATCTTTCTTTCTAAGTGAGGGGGTAGCAGTATAAAAGACAGTCATTCTTTTTTATTGTCAATCCATAGTTGACGAGAAACTTTGAAAAACTATAATTTAGGGTCAAGGAAAATTCGAACTTGTCGTCGAATGCACAGCACAGAATGTGGATAGCGACTTTAGTCAAGTGAGTGGGACCTTGCAAGAACTTTCACTGGTACAATTGAAAGTTTCACTTATTTTTCACCTTTCAGCTCAATATTTCCGTATTCGTAACTGTCCAAGACGTTAACGACAACGCACCCGTGTTTGATGCGCGTGGCTACAACATTACCATTAAAGAAGAGTTGCCCATAGGTGTGAATTTCGCTACTTAAGAATTTTAGCTTCTCAACAATAAAATGCATTCCCATTTTTGCCGATTTATATTAAGGCTCCACCAGAAGTTAGGGTTGCTTTTTCTATAGGCACAATTGTCTTTGCCGACTTCGAAGCTACAGATCGTGATCAGCCTGGTCCAAACAGTTTTGTTTTGTATTCTATTCTCCCCGGGCCTCATTCGGAACTCCTCGAAATAGCCGATCCATTCCGTCCCGTCGTCACAGTAAAGGTAGGGAAATTATCTTCCTTTTTTCATTAAATGAAGTTTTTAAGAGTCGCATCGACTACGAAACAATCCGAAAATTCGAAGTAATTTTGGAGGCAAGGGATCAGGGCGAACCTTCACTGTCCTCTTCCGTTCCTCTACATGTTAGTGTCGAAGATGTGAACGATCGTTCTCCATACTTCAAACGGCAGTATTACACTTGCCGAAGCATAAAGGTAGGTCTATATACATCCACATTCTTGTTTTTTTTAGAAGACTGATATTCCTCATACTACTATGCCAATGCTCACCTTTTCAGAAAACCACGCTTCCTCTCATTGTATCAAACTCATTATTTTTTTCTATTTCTTTGCCTTATCTCTCCCTCCTGTACT